ACCCCACTCATTATGCCTTTCCAGCTTGACTGTGAACCATTGATAACTCGGAACAGTTTTCCAACCTTATAGTAGCTCCATCTAGGTTGTATTTCCCTAGTTTGTTTGAGATGGTCATGCAAGACAGTATCAAAAGCCCTACTAAAGTCAAGATATATCACATCTACCGCTTCCCCCCATCCACAAGGCTTGTTACTCTGTCAAAGAAAGCTATCAGGTTGGTTTGACATGATTTGTTCTTGACAAATCCATGCTGTTACTTATCACCTTACTATTGTCTATTCTATCTTACTGCAAATTGATTGTTTAATTATTTGCTCCATTATCTTTCCAGGTACAGTAGTTAAACTGACTGGTCTGTAATTCCCCCGGTTGTCCTTATTTAGCTTTTTATAGGTTGGGACTATATATGCCCTTTTCCAGTCTTCTGGAATCCCATTTTCCATGAGTTTTCAAAGATAATTGCTAATGGCTCAGATATCTCTTCAGTCAGCTCCTTGAGTATTCTAGGATGCATTTCCTCAGGCCCTGGTGACTTGAAGACATCTAACTTGTTTAAGTAATTTTTAACTTGTTCTTTCGCTATTTTAGCCTCTGATCCTACCTCATTTTCATTAGCATTCACTATGTTAGACGTCCATTCATCATCAACTTTCTTGGTGAAAACCGAAACAAGTCATTAAGCACCTCTGCCATTTCCACACTTTCTGTTATTTCCCCCCCTGCCCCCATAGAGTGATGGGCCTACCCTGTGCTTGGTCTTCCTCTTGCTTCTAATGTATTTGTAGAATGTTTTCTTGTTACCCTTTATGTCTCCAGCTAGTTTGATCTCATTTTGTGACTTTTTAATTTTCTCTCTACATACTTGTGTTGTGTATATTCATCCTTTGTAATTTGACCTAGTTTCCACTTTTTGTAGGACTCTTTTGATTTTTAGATCATTGAAGTTCTTCTGGGTAAGCCAGGGTGGTCTCTTGCCATACTTCCAATCTTTCCTCCACAGTGGGATAGTTTGCTCTTGTGCCCTTAATAATGTCTCTTTGAAAAACTACCAACTGTCTTCAATTGTTTTTCCTCTTAGACTTACTTCCCATGGGATCTTACCTACAAACTCCCTGAGTTTACTAAAGTCTGCCTTCTTGAAAGCCATTGTCTTTATTTTGCTGTTTGGGGGGGGATAGCTCAGTGGTTTGAGCATTGGCCTGCTAAACCCAGGGTTGTGAGTTCAATCCTTGAAGGGGGCATTTAGGGATCTGGGGATTGGTCCTGCTTTGAGCAGGGAGTTGGACTAGATGACCTCCTGAGGTCCCTTCCAACCGTGATATTCTATGCCTACCATTTCTTAGACTCATTAACTCTACCATTTCATGATCACTTCCACCCAAGCTGCTTTCCACTTTCAAATTCAAAACGAGTTCTTCCCTTTCTGCCAAAATCAACTCTAGAACAGCCTCTCCCCTAATAGCTTTCTCCACTGGAGAGGCAAATGAATCAACACATTGGAGCCCTGCACCAGCAATCCTGGCTAATGCAGGGGAAGGCAATGATGTGTGGCAGAAGTTTGGCTAGTGTCACCTGCCGCTGTGGAGTCTCTGAGTCATGAAGGGGAAGCTGCAACATAGAGTCAGTTCTCCGCATTGGGGGTGGGGCGGCAGTCCCTAGCCCCAACTTCTTTCAGGGCTGAACCACGTGTGAGCTGCGCTGTGGTGACGTTGGTACATCAGGCTGTGATGCCATGGTGATTATTTTTTTCAGTCTGATGCGATCACACTCCACTGTTA